CCTATAGCAAAAATCTCTCTTAAAAAAAAAAGAATTAAATGAGTTAATATATGGCAAATGTTTCAAACAGAGCCCAGTATGTACTTATAAATTCTATAGGTGTTAGTGTTCTTTTAGTCTACTTTATATTTAATTACACACATAATATGGCATAATAATATATCAACACAGTATTTCTAGTTACAATGTTTTTTAATTGCCAGAGGGCACTTGCACTCACCAGAAAGAGACAGAGAAGGGAAAGGAGAAAACATCCCATAATAGGACATGGTCACACCACAATCCCTTCTTTATTTCTTTATCCTGACAAGATTTGGGGCACACACACACACACACACACACTCACAAAGCATGTTTTTCAACCCACTAGGGCTGGGCTTCAAACTACAATTGGCCATGTGAGATCTGACTGGCCACAAAGCCAGCCCACATAGTTACAATTTCTTATGACTATATATAGATCTTGGTTTGGTGGAGGGGGAATGGCCAAATGGAATGAAACAAAATGTTTATTTCTCTCTTAAAACTATTGGATTGCCTTTGCAGTTCTACTGGGCTATGATCTGCGGTCCCTTCACAGCTCGGTTGTCCTTTTTTTTTTTTTCTTTTTGGAGAGATTTTTTTTTTTTCACTATAGGGCGCGTGCGCTCGCCAGACAGACAGACAGAGAGAGGCATAGAGATAGAAAGCAAGAAATCACCCCCCAGGGGGGGATGGTCACATGGCAATCCCTTCTCCTCCATTCTCCTCTCGGGATCCTGGGCACACACGCACATGCACCTGGCATGAGTTTTAAGCCACCGGGTCCAGGACGCAAACTGCGGTCGACTATGTGGGGGTCCAGGGACATAGCCATTACGCTAACTGCTGGTTCCCTCGGTTTTCCTTCTTCATCCTTGAATGTGCTAATGCCTATCATTTTGTCATTGCCTCTCAAGCCATTAATCCATGTTTGCAAAAAATCTGTCACCCTCATGCTCATTGCACATACCTGGGACCAAATCAGCACAGTTGTACGTGCCAAGAAGGCTACCATGGGGATGGCCAAGTGTGCTTGCCAGTGGACCCCTGCCAAATTAACTTTGGAAACTGCCCGACAAAGTCGACAGTGTGCAAATATGATGGGCCTGGACAGGTAAGCTAACGATGATACATATAGAAGTAGGACACCCACCAAAGACAAAATTGTGCCATAGGTGACATTTGTCTTCTATGCAATCCCAGTTCTTTCTTTCCATGCTCCATTTGGGTTTCCTCTCCAGATAGTCCTCATGTGCTCAGGCCCGAACTCAGTGTCCCCTCTGACTCCATCCAGTCTATCCTCCAAAAGTTCTTTTAAAGAATTATTTTATTTTATGTTATTCATCAGTGTTAATTTTTTTTTCAATTTGACCAGAGAGAGTCAGAAAGAGAGAGAAAGTGAGAAAGCAAGCCACCAGGTCTGGGACTCAAACCTCGTCAGTCATTGGGGAGTCCAGTGCCCCAACCACCATGCCACCTGCTGGCCCCTATCCTCCAAAATTCTACTTTTCAAGCTTCCCAACCAAAACTTAACTGTCATGTTTTCTTCTGTCACAGCCTTATATGGCAACTGACAAATGTATGCAAAATTCAAAATTACATTAATAAATTAACCATTAACCAAGTCCTGAGTTAATGTAAGATTTACTTTTACCAGCGATCCAATAGTCTGTCTAATTTTTTTAAAAGGGGACCCTTAGAGGCAAAATTACCATGTCCCAAAGGGATGCAAACTGATAATATGTTAGATAGCATGGACAGATTGTAGGAATCAATGAGGCTACTCTGGAGTGAGACACTGCCCTTCTAAATCACATCATGACCTTGACTGATAAACATTGGCCTGGTGGGGCCAGCAGGTGATGTGGTAGTTAAGGCACTGGACTCTCACATGTCCAACAGCAGTTTGAATCCTGGACCTGGTAGCTTGAAAATCATGCCAGATACATGTGCATGCATGTTCAAAGTCCCAGGATAATAGAGGAGAAAGAAATTGCAGAATGGTCACCACAACCCCATTAAGGGGGTGATTTCTCACTCTCCTCACTGTCTCTCTCCAGCAAGCACACATGCCCTATGGCAAAAACTTCTTTAAAAAATCAGCCTGTCAGGAGACCTCTGCTGAGGAGTCCACCTGAAAGAGTCCAGCCCCTGATATCTCATTCGTCCATCAAGTATTGAGTGCGTGGTTACAGTGCCCACAACTGCATATCAAGCCTTCATTTAAGGAAATCTACCCAAACACAAGGATATTACTGCACTGTAGCAGGAAAGGCTTAGCTCAACCCAAACACATCCATGGGTCCCCTGCAATCTAGTCAGCACACCCATGTGAATATTCCTGGAATTTCCTGTGAAGAATCCTCTAAGCCCACTTCTGTGCAAGAGTATATCATGCAGCATTTCCACTCTCAGTGTCTAGACAGGTTTGTAGAGAAATTCAAAGGGCTTAAGCGCGTATCCTCAACATAAGGGATTTTACCGGAAAACCCATGTTATACCATGAATGCCAGGACCTTGAAAGTGATGTTAAAAATATGCTCTTTGAAAATTGATTCCAAGGCAAATTTTCTTTCTTTCTTTCTTTATCTTGTTATTGCCAGAAGATATATGCACTCACCAGAGAGACAAAGAGAGAGGCAGATATAGCTCCCCAAGAGGTTGCTGTCATGCCACAATCTCTTTTCCTCCATTTCTCTATCCTGTTGAGATTTGGGGTGCATGCAGTCATACTCAGCATTGTTTTCAAGCTGTGAGGAACAGTATTCAAACTGTAGTTGGTCCTATGGGTTTCAAATCCCTACGTACAACACTTAATCACTGCGCCACGGGGCCAGTCCCCAAGGCAGATAGTCAAGTCTTAGAAGCCCTCCATTGTGTTCACAGGAGCAGGACATTGAATTATTTCAGAGCAGGGTTTCTCAACCACGGCATTATCAATATCTTGGACTGAATATTCTTTGTTCAGGGAGGAGGCCTCCCCCAACAAAGAGTATTTGATATTTAATTGATATTTAATTAAAGAATTAAACATCAATATTTAATATTTTTGGCCTCTGCTAGCACTGCTCTTTTCCCATGTGACAATCAAAAATGTCTCCAGACATTTCCCAGAGTCTCCTGGGTTGAGACCCCAAGTGAAAACCACCATTCTATGGCAATTGATACCTTCCATCTGAACATCAATCATGGCTCACCTGTAGACAATTTAAAACCAGGAATTATGGAGCCAGGGAGGTCAAGGTTTAGAAAAGAAGAAAATCAAAAAGGAGGACCAGCAGATGATGTAATGGTTATGTCTCTGGATTCCCACATGGCTGAAAGCAGTTTGAGTTCCACACCTGGCAACTTGAAACTCGTGCCGGACACATGTGCACGCATGCCCAAATTCCCTAGAGGAAAATGGAGGAGAAGAGATTATACCATGGCCATACCCCCTGGGGGGTGACTTCTTGCTTTCTGTCTCTCCAAGGAGCATACTCACTCTTATAACAAAACTCTCTCTTTAAAAAAAGAAAGAAAGGAAAAGAAAACCAAAAAGTTAAGTTTTCCAAACAAGGGGTATGAGTTTCCCATAAGGTAAGCTTTATAAACATGATTTCCACTTCCGGATGCTTTGACAAATTTGTGACAGACCTTCTCTGAGTTAGCTTTTATGGCAGAATACAAATATGGAGTAATGGAGTGGAGAAGAATGTCAGATGAAAAGACCAAACAGGATCCTATTTGTCTTTCTCTCCCTGTCTACCGAAGTCACACTGCGAGTGTAAGGAACATTACCACAATTTTGTACCTGGAGTGGGGTGCACCATGACCAACATCTGTGAGTCAAATAACCCATGTCATAGGAATGCAAACTGTACCACCATTGCACCAGGCCAAACCAAGTAAGTCTTTTCATTTCCACTACCATCTTTTCCAAGTGGTAAAAATGTGGCCAGTCAATGTTGTAAGCTCCTCAAAGGGGAGAAAAGATGTCTTATTCAGCCTATATCCACCCAACCCCACATAGTAGGAGCAAGGAGCATGGTAGGTACTAAATCTTTGTTTAAGCAACGAGTTACTCAACAACTATTTCTTCTGTAATGACCATTAGAACACTCTGGGACACTAACCTGGCCTGATAAGTTGGTTTGAAGTGATCAGAACTTGGGAGAAGGAAGTCACCATGACTGGGAAAACAAATGGATGTGGAGATTACAGGGGTTTGACCTCTAATGCACATGCCCACTTCCTCATTTGAGAAATATTGCTTGTTCATGGTGCAAAACAAGATGGGAGAAAGTACTAATAGTGCTTCTTGACTTCTTGCTTTAAAAAAAAAAAAAAAGAAGGTTTACTGTGAAACATTTGCATGGAAATTATTTTCTTATGTATTTATTTATTTATTTATTGGAGAGGTTTTTGCTATAGAGGGTGTACGCTTGCTAGAAAGATAGAAAGAGACAGAGAGAGAGAAAGCGAGAAATCATCTGCTAGGGGAGAGGGCCATGCTGCAATCCCTTCTCCTCCATTCTCCTCTCCGGATCTTCGGCACGCACGCACACATGTCCAGTGTGAGTTTAAGCCACCGGGTCTGAGACTCAAACCATAATTGAGTACATGGGAGTCCAGGGACATAGCCATTACGCCAACTGCTGGTCCCTGTATGAAAATTTTTGAGGTAGCGGCAGCCCATGTAATAGGAAGGACGTGGTATCTGGAGTCCAAGGACCTGGAGTCCCAGCACTGGTTCCTACCAAAGGCATGACCTTGAGAAAGTGGCACCATCTCTCTGGCCTCAAGTTTTTCATGTATAAGATGAGTGCAATGATATTGACTCCATAAGCTGTTGTGACAATTGCATGAGAGAATGTTTCTGGAAATTGCTATGCAGAGGTGTTATGTTCTTATTAGTTTCTGAACTGAGATGAGAACCCAAATCCTTTAACTCCCAGACCAAGTTTTCTGTCTCTGTGACATTTATTGGTTCTCAGCAACAGCAGCATCTTCCCAGGACTCACTCTGTCACTGTGAGCTCAAAATTGTAATAGACATTGAACCATGAGGTTATAAAACAGTTTCTGTGTTTCCAGAGTCCCCTTCTATCTTCTTTGAGGTTCATTCCTTTTCCTATTGGGTTTTCAGTGTGTGTATGTATCCAGGCAGGTTTTATGAACTTTATGTTCTGTCTGGACAGATAAGTAGACCTGTGCTCACTGTGGATGAAGCAGAAAGAGCCTGGATATCAGAACACCTGAATTCAAATCCCAGTTCCCTTGTTTACCTTAACCTCTCTGATGTTTAACTGGTGTTTCTTTGGCCATAAAGAGGAGAGAACCATACCTTCCTCCAGGGCTATGCTGAGGATTAAATGAGATTACACTCACCAAACTCTGAGTAGTGAGTTTACACATAAACACTCCATGGCCTTTCATAGAAGCATATAGGTACCCCACACACTTCTACACAGGCACATCCTCTCCTCACACATAGATTCTGATAACCAAATAAGCCAGGGTAGAGGTTTTTTTACCATCCTCTGAGAAAGTTTTAGTAGACTATCTCAATTCCTTTCCTTTGAATTTGAGATGATAAAAATCTAAAAATGAAATTGGAATGCCAAGTTAATAAAAGCTGCATCAAAACTTATGTTTAAAATATCAGTGGAGGGACCGGCAGTTGGCAGAATGGCTATGTCACTGGATTCCCATGTAGTCGACCGTGGTTCGAGTCCCAGACCCAGTGGCTTAAACTCACGCCGGGCGTGTGTGCGTGCGTGCCCAAGATCCCAATAGGAGAATGGAGGAGAAGGTACTACAACATGGCTGTTCCCCCTAGGGGGTGATTTCTCACTTTCTGTCTTTCTGTCTCTCTCTTTCTGGCGAGCGCACATGCTCTATAGCAAAAACCTCTCCAATAAATAAATAAATAAATAAATAAATAAATAAA